TCATCGAGTCGTCATCTTTCTCAGAAAAGAAATCCTTGAAGACGTTGATGTTGATGTTAAACCGGTCCCACTCAGTACCCACCCGACCCCGACCCGAGTACCCCGTCCCGAGTACCCCGTCCCAGGCCTATGGGACCTGTCCATTGTTAGCACTGCGTGGCGCATTTCTGTTCACTGCTGGTACACGGCACAAGTCTTCTAAGCTGGTTCCCGGCTCCCAATACGCGTCGTCAACTTGCGCCGGTACAGGCTTTAACCGTCTCTGATATCACAATATGGGAGCCGGTACAGGCCAATGAGACGATGGCTGTGAACGCCTTCTAATCACTCTCCTACCCAGAGTTCCATACGACCAGCATAGTACCTCGTGTTATGCTGAGTCATAATGAATTAGGTTTACAAAATTCCTAAAAATGTTATGAAGTAGAGAACCTGCCACGGGCTTTCCCCCTGGATAAACTTTAAACTGCACCACGCAGACAGATGCACTTAACAGTTTGGAATAGTGTGGGAATTCCCTGTTTGGTCATTTCATCCACTAGCATTTTAAGCCAATTAATATTCCTGAAAATGACCTCTGAAACTTAGGTACATAGTAAATGTCGCCATTTTTTACACATTACTAAATCACCACTCACGGCGTTATTTACAGCATGTTTATGAAATATAAATTTCGGATATTTACTCGGTGAAATGAATTTCACAAATAGCATATCACGGGTATCTGTCTTTTATCAAATCACCAATGATCATTCCAAAACGTCGCCGATAACACCAGATTCGTTCAGAATGTTTTGGAAAATACGCAAACACGAACGCTGAAGTGAACACTCCGCCATAATGGAAAGTGTTTACACCAAAATCACGTTTCACGTATACCGGTTATGAGATGCCTGTAACATAACGTACATCAAACTTAACTGCGATACATACATCCTTGAATTCCTCGTACAGAGGAGAAGCAAATGACAAATGGTCTTTGTCACTAATACAAAGTGTCTGGATAAAATCAAGCGAAATAAATTAGGTATGAAAACGAACGCTGTCCTCTAGAAAATGCAATTGTTTGAAATTTAAACAAAGCAAAATTCAGATTTTACACAGTGTAGCATTTTCTCCTATTTTGAACTATCCATTTGTCTATTCGTTGAATACATTGGCTCACCAATTTCAGAATAAGCATGGGCAGAGAATCGTATGAAGAATTAGGAAACTTAAAAATAGATACATTGCAATGGTTGAAATCTCCGTCATGTGTGACGCCATGACTGTCGCAAAATCACGCACAGCGACAACGGTACGTATTTATCGGATTTTTTTACTATTTACGTTAATGGTTTCAATGAAAAATATCACAGCAAATAACAGTACACAGATTGTCAGAATCAACGAAAGTAACCTCGTAAAATCCCGCGTACTGTTTTCAGTGAACACGAAATTTTGTAAACGTCGGTCATCGGTAGTGATGTCATACGCCAACATAGTTTTACATATTTGGTAATTTCTTTGAGGTGAAGGTCTTTGAATGAAAGCACAGCTATCCTGCTGTTTACAGTTTCAATTATGATGCAGAATTTCCATATCTTTTTTACATTTTTTCACACGTTTAATTTCACTTCGGATATTTGTCAATGTTCAATATGATATCATACGTAGATATAGGCCACAGCATGTAAGAACCTTTGATAATCTCCTGTTTGTTGGAACATTGTTTACATATGGAACTGATAAGTTTATAGTGTCGTATACGATATTTCTTTAATTTGTACAAGCGTTACATCATTACCTTACGTTGAGTTACATATTTTTGACAATGCAGTCAATAATTAGGAGATAAACATACTGTGTTTTCAATGTTTTCAATTGAATTTGGAACCGAACGCGCAGCGTGAGGTTTCAAATGTTAAATTTAGCGCGGTTAAATCTACAGGTAACCTAGCTCTACATTGGAAACACAGTATGTTTATCTCCATTCTACCATGACTAAATAAAACGCGAACTCTTTGGTGTTAGCAAATAAACTGAGTGAAGCGGCATGTGTTGAGTTCAGTGTTTTGAGTGGGTTATCGATCTGAATTACGGAATCACCGAACAAAATATGGTGCTGTATATACTCAAGCAGTTTGTTTACACCGTAATACTTCACTCGAACATATGACAGGCATTGAAAGCATAGAAGCACGGCAACTTGGTAAGCTAACATGAGGTGGGCATCCCTAAAGAAAACAAAGCAAGCTTTGCAAGGCTTTCGCTCTACATCGCGCATCACCATTATGACGTCTATCGCTCATTGTGACGCAAAAAAAATGACGTCACAGTCGTATATAGAAAAGCGCCAAAATTCCAAGCTCTCTGTTGTCTCCAAAACGTAAATACATTCCCTTTGTTGATTTCTGTCGTGTTTTTCTGCACGAAATGTATTGCCACACATCCTTTGAATATTGTAGTAACCGCATCTGTGCATTTCGTAACCTGTAATTTTAGATATAATTATTTAAATATGCCTACCGACAATGACTGAAAATAGTATTATTCTATGAATATTAGCTTCCGCGGTGATGCGGCCGTCAAACCAGCTGTTTCAATCAGAGAGGGTTTATTGTGATTTAATAGCCTCTGATTGACCAATCAGAATCGAGTAAATTCCAAATTCATGGTAGAATGAACGGTACCATGTGCAGAATTGTCTTTTTTAATGCTATTGATCGAGATATGCAGCAAGACAACAATATCCGAACGTAATCATCCAATAAACATATTGCAACCACATACGAGTCGTACAACACATCATATGTCTTACGAGTTATTCCTTGTTTTGTGCCAATGTTGCCACACCAACCAACTTCTTAACATAAACATTTTTGACGTCATGGAATGAAAAGACAAAATTTGGAATAGTTTCAATGCGACTTTTATATTGTATGCGTGGCTCTACATGCTTCGATCGACATTTTCAAACTTCCTACATGCGTATCTCGTTCAAATACCTGAGAATATATCATTCGCTCAGAGATTTCTGGCAAGTGTATAATAAATATTTTTCTCCCATTGCACAATTTGGGGGTGTCTTCGAAAACCTGCGAAATGTTTATGCAAAGACTATGCTAGACTATGTTTACTATTGTTTCTCTTACATATTGATAGCATGTACGTAATGGTGGCACATCTAACAAAATGACTTCAAGCATTTTGTGACGTTTCTCAGAAGAGGCTTTTGTGGAAGGGAAGTGCTTCGTCTAAAAATAGCGACCAATGAAAAATTACATAACATAGTGTATGTATAATATTTCGAAGGCGTTCGCAGCCATCGTCTCATTTGCCTGTTCCGGCTCCTCTATTGTGATATTAGAGACGGGGCCCAGCTTAACAAGTCTTCTTGTTCGGTTAATGGTCAAAGGGGGACAATTCAAAAGTTTCATGCATTCATCTGTGTTTTGTTGTTGGTGTGATATATGATGAGTGGAAACGGGTGTATTTTCATGGGCCTCGCACTAACGATTGAGTTTCATTCGGGCCCACCCGGCCTTTTCCGTTACATACCTACGACTCATTGCGGAGCCGTTCCGTTGACGGTCAAAGGGACAAGGGACACAACTCTTGATTTGTTGTACGCTATTCGCTCCCTTTGATTGAGAGCACACAAGCTCCTTCCCAGCGCGTGACACCTTCGTTACACTCTCGGTAACATCGCGATAGTATAGAGAGTTCCGCGAACGGGCTATCGCTGTGAGGAGCTTGGAGAGCATACGCCCAAGCTCCTTCCCTGCGCATGACACCTTCCGCGAACAGGCTATCGCTGTGAGGGACTTGAACAAACGCCGTACGTAGTTAAGCTAGAAACAATTAAAACTCCTCACAGTGATAGCACGTTCGCGGAGCTTTCTATACCAAGCTCCTCACAGCGATATCGAGAGCGTAACGAAGATGTCACGCGCTGGGAAGGAGCTTGTGAGAGTCTAAACGAAGGGAGTTTACTCTTGTAGAAACATAATTACTTCCCAATGATCATAAACAAAACCACAACAGGTTCAGCGTGATCATTTGCGATGTTTTTCTATGCCAAATCCATTTTTAGAAAAAAGAAATGAAAATATTGAAATGTACACGTTGAGTTTTAATTCACGTTACTGAATCACCTTAGCAGTATTTAAGTAGCCAGTGTTATCCCTATTGAACACGTGGGACATGCTAGGACGTTGCGGTCTGTTACGAGAGTGCAGTTCCCTGCCACACTCAAATACCTTCCATCACCCTTATTACAGTAGTGGCAAAACATCCCTCAACACCAGATAAAGGTGTGAAGTACCGGGGTAGAATAGGTCTTCAGCAACCCATGCTTGTCGTAAAAGACGACTAACGGGATCGGGTGGTCAGGCTCACTGACTTGGTTGAAACATATGTCATCGTATCTCAATTGAGTGGGTGGATGCTCATGATGTCAATCCATAGATTGTCTGGTCCAGGCTCGATTATTTACAGACTGCTGTCATATAACTTGAATATTGCTGAGTGCGGCATTAAACAACAAACAAACGAACAAAAGCATTGAGTAAAGAGGTGGACAAACTTGGTACTATTTGGGAGATGTGTTTGATATCAGAACTTTGAAAATGTTGTAAAGGATACATTGGACTTCTTTCGCTTGTTTTGATGTTCAGCGTATTGAAGTGTGTTAATATATACTTCAGCCTTGTGAACTATTAACCCGTGAAGATCTGGGGTTAGAATTCATCTTCAGCAACCCATGCTACTCAGTGGTCAGGCTCGCTGACTTGGTTGATGCATGTCATGGATCGATGCTCACATCAATCACTGGACTGTCTGGTCAAGACACGATTATTTACAAACCGCCGTCATTTAGCTGGAATATTGCTGAGTGCGGCATATCACAACAACAACAACAACAACAGCAATCACTGGACTGTCTGGTCAAGACTCGATTATTTACAAACCGCCGTCATTTAGCTGGAATATTGCTGAGTGCGGCGTTTAACAACATCAAAAATGTTATCTTTTATTGCCTGATAGAGGAACTAAGTTTAGAATCTTATATAAATCCCTGCACATTAGCGGATAGATATCCATAAGCTCACAATGAGTCTTTTTTATGATGATAATGTCATGGTGAGTAAATACAGGCATCAGTCAAGCTCATGCCCTGGCACCTCCTAAGTGACAAAGTACCTTGATAAAATACCCTGTGTGTAGAGGATGGAAAATATCCAGCCCCACCAAAAAACAAGTCTCGAGAAAGATGGGTAATCTTTAAATTTTTAATTTATTCATATTTGGTAATGATACATAAATATTCTTACTGTGTTAACATGTTCTATACCTGCATAACAGCCATTTAGGATAACATATCTAAAGCCAATGTCAATACAAAACATTTTTTCAAAGTAGGCAAGAAAATATCACAATCAGTTACTTCTTGAAAAGTAAGCTTCTTATTTACATTAAAAAAATATATATCTCACCAAACATTTTGTTTCATTCAACATATTTTCCTTCTACTCTGAAACCATATTCAACTTGGGTGAAGATATTTTCTAACCCTAAAGCAAATTTCATTTCACAGAATACCCTATTGATATTATATATCATGTTATATCGGAATACATTGACACATTTACTGTTAGTGTTGTCTTGTGCATTTAAATAGATTTTAAAAATAGTTTTAAAAGATGTGTTCCAGTTGAGGATCAAAGACCCCAATTTATACAATTTAAATAAAGGAATGGACTAACTAAATATATTTCTGAATTAATAACACTTAATTTCTAATCAAAAATACATTTTCTTAAAGACAGTATGCTTCAAATTTACTCCTTATGGCAAACAATTAAAAAATACACCTAACATGGGGACTATTGGTGCACATACACAACTTCTCAAAGAAGATAGGATGAAATCAAGGGGTCACAAAATACTAAAATAGAAAAAATGAAACAACTAACTTCTTTTAAATAATTATAAATTAGTCACTACTTTTTGGGAAGTCGGAAATGCTACCAGTCCTTCAGAGACATTTCAGCCAATCAGATCTAGCGATACCGTACATGGACATGTCTCAAATATTGCAGCCAATCAAAACTGGTGATATCAGAATGTGCATGCACTCTCAAGAGACATCTCAGCCAATCACAGGGAGTGTTACATCAGCAGCAAGTGAATTCTTCAAGCAATGTCAGCAATATTTAGCGCTACATCAACAGTGGGCACATCTCCTTTAATATCAGCAGCAGGTAAGGAAGTCTGGGTAAGCCCCAAACTTCTAATATTCCAGGCTATTACACAATGTGGGATGTTAATCTTGTCATATAGACCAAACATACATATATATTTGAGACATTGGAACTTTCAACAGATGTAACGACCTGCTAATTCCAAATTTAGCTGTACTTAGTGAAACCCTTTTAATCTTGCCAGAATTCCAGTTTAATTGCAAACACACGGAGTAGTGTCCCTTTGCAGGTGTATGAATCAAGCTCCTCACAGCGATATCCCGTTCGCGGAGCTCTTTATACTATCACTGCCACCAGTAAAAACTCCCCACAGTGATGATCACAACCAAGCTCGCAGCCAATTGACCATTATGTTTACAAACAAGTGACGACTGTCCTGACGCCGAATACAATAACCCCTGCTAAATAACTTTCTTTCTTTGTCAATTTGAATTTCTATTTCATTAAAACTATCATGTTATTGATATAGTAAGAATGTAAGGGAGAAGTTGGTTGATTTTCCGTTAGTCTGCACTCTAGAACCAATCTGATTATACAAACAACAAAGTAAATTCATCTGGAAAACATGGTCAGTCGTAAACCTTTTCAAAATGAATTATGATGGCATTCCCAAACACATAAACAAAAGTATGAACGTTACTACATTTGGGGTTAGAGGGCAGATTTCAAGATTCTTGTAGCAGCGACGTTACCATAACGAAGGTGTCCCGCGCTGGGAAGGAGCTTGCCTCCAACGGGCTATCGCTGTGAGGAGCTTGGTGTATGAATGTTCTCAAAGGAAATGACCACCAAGATGGTGTTTTGGGATTAAGGTAGTCCTGACTATCAGAGTTTCACTGAATAAACACACAGCCTTTTAAACACCACAATAATCATACACAATTCATAATAATGACATATGTGTTTAACAATGTATTTGTAAGTACTATGTGTCCGGTTATAGGTGATGATTGCTTTTTCAATATGATCAAACATGGCAAAATACTACTACCTTAACTGCAGACCTTGGATTTCAAAAACATTTCTTTGGCTTGAACTAACAACTCATGTTTATATAAATAAATCAACACATTGCCTGAAACAACAAACTTGAAACAATTCATATATCAACAGCAAAACCTGAATCACACTGTCTGAAACATTTGATCGGAGGGATCATGAATTGCAATTCCATTCAAATCAGATATTTTACTCCATTTTAATGCCCCTTCTCATCAATGTCTGAAAAAATTTGAGTCTTGCTTGACAACAGTATAAGGATCTATACTCAAACGTTGCTTTTTACAGTATTAAAGAAGTTGTTATCCATAAAATTGTCTACCTTGTGAAAAAATTCCATCAGAGATTGTTTCCATTCCAAGGTCTCTGAGAATTCACCTGAAGCAACCGTTGAGGGTTTGTCACATCTTGACATCAGGATAACAAATGGAGTAAAAGACCAAACAGTAACACTGACACAAACTACCCCAAGAAAACCCCAGCAGATTTGCCATTCAAGTTTAACAAATATACACACTTCAAATAGGTCTTGGCATGATTTGCCAATATGCAGAAAAGAGTATCCATTTGGCCACAGGAAAAAATAAACATCGAAATGGTTTTAGCATACTTTTGCGAAAAAAATTAAAAGTATGCATAAAATTGTATAACAGCATAAAAAGAGGTACGATAAAGTTTGGCCCACTAGCTTCATATTAGTTTTACACTCGGTACCCTGTCATAGAAGCAGATTTGCAGAACACTTTACAAACAAGTTCATGGTTCTGGTTCAACTTTTGGAAATGTGACAGGCTTATACCGGAGGCAATCAGGAAATTATTTTACAAAATTCAATTGAGATCTTGATCTGTTGACGCCTCATCATAAAATAATAATATATATTCATATCGTGTTCATATGCTCTTCAAGTTAAGGCCAGACAAATTTATATTCTTGTATTTTAGATTTCATTTCAAAGTGAAAAGATATTTTTTCTAAAACATTTAATTCACATTATATATGTAGGAAATTAATCTCAAATTACCCTGAAATCCATTTCTTGGTTTTTGTTTTTGCTCCAAACTCTTTGAAATACTGACCAAGAAAATCTGTGAAACAAACATTTGTCTCACCTAAATAACTAAATTCAGAGCAGTATGTTGTGAATATATTCAGTCTCCATGGAAACGTTTTTTACATAAAGTGTTAGTGGATCCTTGTAAAATAATCCATGAAAACATGTCGGCCATACAATAAAAAATATTAAAAGATGAAATGAAAATGAGCAGTGTGAAATGTGAGTTAATGAGATTCTAGAAATATTATACATGGACATGGAACAGAGCTTGAGCTTGTTAAATTAACACAAAATAAGAAAAAGAAGAACATCTCATGTCATTGTATCCAGTAAGTAATGTTTCACACACACACATGGGAAATGACATCAAATCTGGGATGAGGTAGGACAAGAACCAATTTTAGCCAACTGGAAACATTTGAAATATGTAGGCCCAAAAATTATCAGACATGTTCTTCGTAGCCTTTTTTTGCATTCTTACAATGTCAAGGTCAGGACTTCTCACATGATATAAAGTTCATATTGATAGTGTTTGTAGTTACACTTTGAGTGATTATTGCTTAATGTTGAGTGAGACTAATTTGTTGGTTTGTTAAATGGATGAAGTGAAGAATCCCTTATGCCTTTTCAAAGAAAATAAGCTTAATTTTTGTTTTAGGAAATGTTTTACAGGAAATTAACCTGACATCAACACTGACAAAAAATAATTATATTTTGCCTCCTTCCCATTGACATGTTTCATAAGAAAATTGTGAAATAAGAAATAAACAATTGAACTATTTCTGACCTCATTACAAAAGTATTCGATGTGGGCTCCAGAAAACAAGTTAATGTGTAAAGTTGAAATGGTGTGATGAATATGGCTGACAGGTCGTTGTCGGCACAGGTACGATAGATATCTACCCCAAATACGTTTCTGTATATACAAATGTACCCTAGCCAAATTAAGAAAACAGAAAGGTATCCTAGGTCCATTCCGCTGCAGGAATCGGTTCCTTGGCCGCTTACGTATACGGCATATACTGGACGCCAAACCATTGTAAAATTTAACATGGCAGTACACGTATATTTTTCTCTCGGTATTTCCTTGCCATAAATGTATCGGAACTGTGAAACTGTTGTATGTAGTGCATTTCAGTCTGCTACATAACAAACGAGCAAACACAGTGACGTACGTATAATACTCTGATATTCCAGGATGCATAGCATTATCCAGCATGCATTCGTCTTCAGCATGAATCTGTTTCGATTTTGGGTTGAGGACTTGTCCCCTGTTTTGGGTACCGGATACCTTTCTGTATTCTAATTTTGGCTAGAGTACATTTCTGAAATTAGAAACGGACCTGGGGAACATATCTGTAGCACCTGACAACCCCTTCAGCATTTATATGTTCATGTGTCTCGTAGTCTACTCATGAGTGAGGAGAGTAGTTGAAAAGAATCTTAACATCAATCAATGAATATTTAACATTTTCAGTCAGTTCTACAACACAACAGCTTTAAGATATTCCTCAATACTGAGAAGCCACAGAATGTCAGTGGTAAACATATACACTTGAGAGGACGAAGAGTATGGTGTGAGTTGTCTCCCCTTGATTGCAATATTGAGTGAAAAATGAACTGGGTATAAATTTGGAAAGTGATTCATGTTACACAATAGGCAGGATGGTGAAGGAGATAGATATGACATAGTTACACATTTTAAGGTTCCTAGGAACTAAACTGGCCTTCATTCTAAAAAAACATACCGGTTCTTGCTTATTATGAAATAAGCTTCATCACATTCAGTTGTGTAAGTTTGATATTTGCCATCCAAATACAGCAAAATAAATAACAAATGTCTAATTTTGGACCAATAAATGTAATAATTTCTGCATTTGACATCCTTTAGAAGAGACAGACAGTCAGCATATTATGAAGTCTATTTCACGGTATGGCTGTACAACATCAATATCACACATAGGACATATTATGTACAATAAATATATTCATCGGGGTCATGGTATATTATGATATAATAAAGAGTAATATATGCTGAACAAGATGTGTCAGGGATTATGAGTATTTATGTGGATATTCTTTGTGTGGTGAAGACTGAGCACACAATTTCAAAATAACATCCCGGAAAATATTCTTGATCCCCAACCCTAACCAGAGACCATATAATAGATTATAATATTATATGGTCTCTGCCCTAACGTATCTAGTTACTCTTTTGAAGCAACATTGTACATAACATATTACACAATTCAAAATATATTGGATATATGATGATTCCATATGTCAGAAAATATGTTAAATATGGATATTAATCAGAGCATGGCCTCAATATGTCAAACTGAATAAGTCACTGATATATGCTGCAACCTGATTGGTTGGAAAGTAGTAGAATTAAATGGGATTTGATGTCCAGATATCAAAGATGAGAATTCCAATATTTTTCAAGTTACATATTTTTTTCTTTTCTCAGTGGCAATACAATGTGTTTTGGTAAACATTTTCTCAGCTTGTCACATGGAAGCGGGTGAGGTTTTGATTACCTTTTACAAAAATATTAAAAAAGCAACTGTTAGATTTCTTCATTCAAAATTTACAGATATGCCAGTCCACGAATAACTGAAAAAATAACAGCATTGTTTCTTCCACTTAATCTGACTAATTTAGGTAATGAAAAATGTATCTTCAAAGTTGGCCATTGGAAACGTAGACTCTTGAACAGTTCTTATCCTTATTTCAACCAACGACTCGAAGCTTTTGATCTGTTCAAGTAATTATAACAAAAGGCCTGAGGACTCAACAATATCTGGAAGTATGACCCACTGTGACCATTACAGTACTGTTAGTTTATCTAATATAATTAGGTTAGTTTACATTTACAAATATACACAACACAAAATATATATATTTTTTCCATATAAGTAACATTTGCATGTAGAAGTTCCCATCGTGTTGTGCGTGCTTCGGTCTTGCTATCAACATGACCTTGACCTCTATATCCTGGTGATGGAGGCTGTATGGGACACGACTGTGAAAGCGTTGGGGTCGGCCGGGACAATCTGCGGCTGCAATGTCCTCGTTCCTATAACACGCTGACGATGTCTGTCTTCCGCTCTCATCTTCTTTTCCAACTTTTTCGCTTCTTTCAGTTTCCGTGACGACAACCGAACGGGCTGCGACAGACAATGGTGATGCATTTGATCAATTCATGTCAGGAATATATATACTCAAGTCATTGGTTACTCAAATAACAGGAATAGACACTCATATATTCTGTGGGGGGCAGGTGGTGTTCATTTGTTGTTTAATGCCGCATTCATCAATATTCCAACAATACATGCAAAGGGGTTGAAATATCGCTATTATTTCCAGGCTCACCCACCCTACCCTCGGTCCTTATGCTGACCGCCTCCTTGGTCTTGAGGTAGAGCATCCTCCCGGAGAGTGTCATACCAAAATATGTTAAAAGATGGTACTTGTTGTTGCCCTGTCTGGCGGTCGGAATTAAGGGGCTTAAACATGGACTGGTCGGCTCGGAGTCAGTATACTGTGTCTGAGTGGGGTATTCATGTTAAACTGCGGCATGGTATCTCAGTGCGCTTGCACTATAAATCGGCATCAGTCCAGACTAGTAAAAGCGTGTGCTCGCACGCACGTCGAATATATGAGTGCGATAATCTTGGACGTTACGTTAAACCCAATTTCACCTCACCCCACCTTATCATGCTAATCCATACAGAGAGAGTGTTGAATATGGTCGTAGCTGATACAGGTAAATGAAACAATCTAGAGTGGATGACAAGGGTACCCTAAGTTACAAGACAAGCTTGCCGTGATCAATTACTGCAGTGTATGTCAAACAGACAATTCTTATATTATTTAACAACCCACCCACCCACCCTCTCCCATATGATGTTTCAGTTATTCTAGCTGTAACCAACCCACACTCTTATTCTTAGAACTGCAGAAGGAAATTTACACTCACACAGCTTTGTAAAATCTTTAGAAAGTCTATGGGGACCTTCAGCCCAAATAAAACCCATTTTACTTTCATTTGCCCATTAAAACAGGTTGCTGACTTTTTAATAATTTGATAAGAAATAAGAACACTTTACATCTGTCTTTACGCATCATGTGCTGTTCATGCATGATGGGAAATTTCATTGTGATCAAATGTTGCGTTCAGATGCAACGCCACTGTATTGTAAATGTACACCTCAACGATAGCGGCATTCAAATCATCATTGTAGGAAGAATTTTCAGTACTGTGTTTTAGTACTATGCTGGTGTCTGAACCTCAGTTGGACACTGGTCAATATGACCAAACAGAGCTGCGTTGGGCTTCCAACCAACATCAATCTGTCACGTTCTATAACTGATGTATATATATATATATTGTTCAAAGAGGTGTTTTATCCAATTCGCTCATTTCTGAATCCTACCTGTGTTGGTATGGCAATCAGCTTTGGCCGAGCACCGCCACGATCGCTGTTGAGGGATCCGTATCCAGAGCTGCCGCCGAGACTGTCGTCCCGAAAGTGGACACGTTGACCCTTCCTGCTGGATGTGGAGTTGGAGATGCTGGTGGCGCCAAACACTCGCAATCCGGTGCCACTGTCCGACCAGATCCCACTGTCTGTCGATGTGCGCTGAGATGACATGGAATCGGTGTCTTCTGCCGATGAGGTTGAATCTGTGTTGAAGTATTTGTCATACAATGGATGGTGTTATCAAGATCTAGCAGAACTACTTTTAATATGCTTCATACGTGAAGCCATGACTACTTGCTCAAACACGAGTCATCAGAAGATGACATGAGCAAAAGGGACCACTACAGCCCCTGGAAAATACATGTACCAAGTTCGGATGAAAAATCGTTCACGGTTTTCAAGTCATGCTCAGGAAACGAAAAGCGGACAGACCAGATGACAATATCCCCCCCGCATCATTTGTCGTGAGGATAAAAACAAGTTTCCAACATTAAATATTCCCCAAAATGTGAGTGTTTATGTTTACAAACATGGCAGTACTCATTTGTCACTATTTTCAAATTTGGAAATTTCACTTGGACTTTATAAATGTGGTTTCTCAAGTTAATTTATTGAATAAAAATATGCCTTTATGTCAATTACATGATGGAGAAATCACACAAATCTGTTGATTCTGGGAGTTGCTTCATGGAGTTGCTTCTCTCTGACTTAAACCATATCATGGTCAAAAAATACTTTTCTGTAATTTTGCATAATGACCTACAGTTGAGTCAGTTTTACTTGTTTAAAATGCATGTTCAGAACAGCCAGTGAATTCTTGGCTCAGAATCACTGCAAGAACAATAGCATGACATCATCATAATGGGTTACTATTCACTTACGGTCTTTGTCTGTGAGCTCCATCACCTGCATAAGGTGAGCTATGGCTGCGTCTGCATCATAGCTGCAGTCTACCAGCGTCTCGCGAATCATGGTCAGGTCCTGAAGCCAACATCAGTAAGTCATGAACAGTTTTTGTTTGATTGTTTGTTTTTTGTTTAACGCTACACTTAGCAATATTCCAGCTATATAACGGTGGTCTGGACCAGACAATCCAGTGATTGACATCATGAGCATCGATCCACTCAATTGGGATAGATAACATGCATCAACCAAGTCAGTGAGCCTGACCATCTGATCCCGTTAGTCGCCTTTTACGACAAGCATAGTCGCCTTTTACGGCAAGCACGGGTTGCTGAAGACTTATTCTACCCCGGATCTTCATGGGTCTCATGAACAGTAACACACTGCATGTGAAAGTCCATTGGCTATAGGTGTGTTACCTGTGAAGATCCGGGTTAGAATTGGTCTTCAGCAACCCATGCCTGTCGTAAAATGCGACTAACAGGATTGGGTGGTGAGGCTTGCTGACTTTGTTGATGCATGTCATTGATCCCAATTGTGTGTAACGATACTAATGATATCAATCACTGGATTGTCAGGTCCAGACATTATTTCCAGACTGCCGTCATACAGCTGGAATATTGCTGAGAGTGGCATTAAGCAACAAACAAATATGAGTGTGTAATAATAAAATGATAATAATAATAATAATAATAATAATAATAATAATAATGCAATCTCTATTTTCCTGAGGCAAGGGAGTTAACTGACCATAAAAGTCCAATTTCCACCCTTGCCGAACCAGGTTGGAATTATGGAATTATGTGTTGGCTGCACTAACAACCCGGTTGATAAACAACATGGCGACAGCTGTACAGATAACGGTCGATGGCAGGATTTGCAGAGCATGTGTTCTGTCAACTGGGTGTCGACAGATATTTTCCAAATCTTTTCATGTTTTTAATCAAGCTGCTCATGTGATTTGACACACTTTGTGAGATAAGACCCATTTTGTCACAATACAGATCTTGATGACTGATCATATCATCTTGTCTGGGCGCGGCTATTTTAGTTTGAAGCAAATGCAAGTGATATGAGATGTGGAATCTGATTGGTCAAAAGGATGGACATGGTAATAGCCACTGGTGGTTCTACGATCAAGCCCATATATTCCATCCCAGTTCAGGAAAGGGTGGAAACTAGACATTTATAGTCAGATAACCCCTGGCCTTGAGAAGATGTGCAATCTCGTAAAAATGAAATCATCTACTTTTCTGCGTATATACACATCATGGTGGAGGAATGGTCACGGGTATTTATCATTTTAGATTGGACACATGCTACGCTGAATAAAGGTTAGGCCAGTCCAAATTCAAGACTGAGAATATGGTAACTACTGGCACAGACATTGATAGACCTGAGGGGCAAATATCAGCTTCTGACAATACATTGTACCAAGATGTGTGTGTAGAATGTCCTCTACGTACCTGACACTTTGTGGCTGCTACAACCTCATCTTCTATGGCCTGACACCCACGGATGGCTCGCACATATCCCTCACCATCCTTGTGGGTCTCTGTGTAGCCGTTCATCCAGCTGGGAGGGCTCACCTTGTCGGACTCGTCCTGGACACAAACCAATAGTTACTCATCAGAAGTCAGTTACCATGGTTACTGTATCTTATTGGATTGTTTATTTATTGTTTAATGATACACTCAGAAACAAGGCAAAAAGTGAGCAGGACTCACTAATACCCCGACGTCGACTGAAGAACAATTTTGATATTTGAGATACAGTCAAACCTCGTTATCTCAAACTCCGTTATCTCAAATGTACTGACATCTCAAACCTACTGTTAGGTCCTCACTGCCTCTCTACCGGTATATTAATACTACACATATAAATGACTGACTAAAAAGAGACTGCTGCTATGCCTAAGGTACATGCACAATGTACATAATTTGTCACAGTCCCATTGCCTGTGAAAAACATTCTATTTTGTCACCACATGCATGTGATGTGTCCTTAATTTCTTGTGTATGCAAAGTATTCCCATGAATCTATAATACTGTTCTTACTGGATCTGTCTGTCTGTCTGTCTGTCTGTCTGTCTGGATATTTATGCCTTGTTATTTTGAATCTCTGGATATCTCAAAGCTAAAAGACTGCCCCTAATCTAACATAGGTCCAAGGGATGGGGGGCAGGCAATAGAGTGCTAGTGACCTGTTCTAACCCAGGTCTTAATGGGGGCAGGCAATAGAGTGATGGCGACTTTTTTAAACCAGGTCTTAATGGGCACAGGTAATAGAGTGACGGGGACTTTTCTAACCCAGGTCTTAATGGGGGCAGGCAATAGAGTGACGGGGACTTTTCTAACCCAGGTCTTAATGGGGGCAGGCAATAGAGTGATGGCGACTTTTTTTAACCAGGTCTTAATGGGCACAGGCAATAGAGTGACGGGGACTTTTCTAACCCAGGTCTTAATGGGGGCAGGCAATAGAGTGATGGCGACTTTTCTGACCCAGGTCTTAATGGGCGCAGGCAATAGAGTGACAGGGACTTTTCTAACCCAGGTCTTAATAGGGGCAGGCAATAGAGTGCTAGTGACCTATTCTAACCCAGGTCTCAAGGGGGCAGGCAATAGAGTGACGGGGACTTTTCTAACCCAGGTCTTAATAGGGGCAGGCAATAGAGTGCTAGTGACCTATTCTAACCCAGGTCTCAAGGGGGCAGGCAATAGAGTGACGGGGACTTTTCTAACCCAGGTCTTAATAGGGGCAGGCAATAGAGTGCTAGTGACCTATTCTAACCCAGGTCTCAAGGGGGCAGGCAATAGAGTGTATGGGACTATTCTAACCCAGGTCTCAAGGGGGCAGGCAATAGAGTGTATGGGACTTTTCTAACCCAGGTCTTAATAGGGGCAGGCAATAGAGTGTATGGGACTATTCTAACCCAGGTCTCAAGGGGGGCAGGCAATAGAGTGCTAGTGACCTATTCTAACCCAGGTCTCAAGAGGGCAGGCAATAGAGTGTATGGGACTTTTCTAACCCAGGTCTTAATAGGGGCAGGCAATAGAGTGTATGGGACTATTCTAACCCAGGTCTCAAGGGGGCAGGCAATAGAGTGACGGGGACTATTCTAACCCAGGTCTCAATGGGGGCAGGCAACAGAGTGATGGGGACTTTTCTAACCCAGGTCTCAATGGGGGCAGGCAATAGAGTGACGGGGACTTTTCTAACCCAGGTCTTAATAGGGGCAGGCAATAGAGTGCTAGTGACCTATTCTAACCCAGGTCTCAAGAGGGCAGGCAATAGAGTGTATGGGACTTTTCTAACCCAGGTCTTAATAGGGGCAGGCAATAGAGTGTATGGGACTATTCTAACCCAGGTCTCAAGGGGGCAGGCAATAGAGTGACGGGGACTATTCTAACCCAGGTCTCAATGGGGGCAGGCAACAGAGTGATGGGGACTTTTCTAACCCAGGTCTCAATGGGGGCAGGCAATAGAGTGACGGGGACTTTTCTAACCCAGGTCTTAATAGGGGCAGGCAATAGAGTGCTAGTGACCTATTCTAACCCAGGTCTCAAGGGGGCAGGCAATAGAGTGATGGGGACTATTCTAACCCAGGTCTTAACAATGCTTAATAGGGGCAGGCAATAGAGTGCTAGTGACCTATTCTAACCCAGGTCTCAAGGGGGCAGGCAATAGAGTGACGGGGACTTTTCTAACCCAGGTCTTAATAGGGGCAGGCAATAGAGTGCTAGTGACCTATTCTAACCCAGGTCTCAAGGGGGCAGGCAATAGAGTGACGGGGACTTTTCTAACCCAGGTCTTAATAGGGGCAGGCAATAGAGTGCTAGTGACCTATTCTAACCCAGCTCTCAAGGGGGCAGGCAATAGAGTGTATGGGACTATTCTAACCCAGGTCTCAAGGGGGCAGGCAATAGAGTGTATGGGACTTTTCTAACCCAGGTCTTAATAGGGGCAGGCAATAGAGTGTATGGGACTATTCTAACCCAGGTCTCAAGGGGGGCAGGCAATAGAGTGCTAGTGACCTATTCTAACCCAGGTCTCAAGAGGGCAGGCAATAGAGTGTATGGGACTTTTCTAACCCAGGTCTTAATAGGGGCAGGCAATAGAGTGTATGGGACTATTCTAACCCAGGTCTCAAGGGGGCAGGCAATAGAGTGACGGGGACTATTCTAACCCAGGTCTCAATGGGGGCAGGCAACAGAGTGATGGGGACTTTTCTAACCCAGGTCTCAATGGGGGCAGGCAATAGAGTGACGGGGACTTTTCTAACCCAGGTCTTAATAGGGGCAGGCAATAGAGTGCTAGTGACCTATTCTAACCCAGGTCTCAAGGGGGCAGGCAATAGAGTGATGGGGACTATTCTAACCAAGGTCTCAATGGGGGCAGGCAATAGAGTGATGGGGACTATTATAACCCAGGTCCCAATGGGGGCAGGCAATAGAGTGATGGGGACTATTCTAACCCAGGTCCCAATGGGGGCAGGCAATAGAGTGATGGGGACTATTCTAACCAAGGTCTCAATGGGAGCAGGCAATAGAGTGTTTGGGACTATTCTAACCCAGGTCCCAATGGGGGCAGGCAATAGAGTGATGGGGACTATTCTAACCAAGGTCTCAATGGGGGCAGGCAATAGAGTGATGACCTATTCTAACCCAGGTCCCAACAGGGTTCACTGTACTGCAAGAGGGATGTTGTACCTGTGTGACAGCTGAGAGGATTTTCTGCATCAGGATGTAATGACAAAAAATCATGACCAGTGAGTCGAGAAATAGATCGTATCATGGCCAGTGTATCAAGGTATGTATCATCCAGTTGCCTTCAGTATCGTTTCGCTTCTAATGTGCAGTGGATGCTGTCATGGTTGGGGGAGCAGCACAGAAAGATATGGCGTCTTGGACAGTAAGGATTGGACAGTCGAGGAGCAGTACCTGTATTCTGATGTTGGCAGGTGACTCTGTATTGTCGTTGAGCTTCCTGACACTGGAGTAGTGGTCGCCGTTGTGGTAAGAGATGTGGAGCTGCCTGGCATTGCTGTTGGCAGAGCCAGTGATCTGCAGGACAAACATATAGTGCCATTCACTCAACATGCACAGTAGCTAGGATTTGATGTAAATGAGCATCCTCTGTATCTCCATACTCGCATTTCCGTAAACCTATACTCGCCCCTGGATCCATTCTGGATCGCATATGAACAGTATGACCTAATTAACATCAATTCATTTTCGGATGCAACACCATGAATACTGCTACGAAAGATGATACATGTCTGAAATAGTTTCCGCTCAAGTATTCCTAACCCAAAGTCATAAATAAAACTCATACACATACATAGATTATTGTGACACAGAAGCATACTATAATCTGAACTAGGTATTTTATTCTACGATCAGGAGTAGAATAGGTCTTCAGCAACCCATGCTTGTCGTAAAAGGCAACTATGCATTGTCGTAAGAGGCGACTAACGGGATCGGGTGGTCAGGCTCGCTGACTTGGTTGAAGCATGTCATTGATCCAAGTTGCGTGGATCGATGCTCATGTTATCAATCACTGGACTGTCTGGTCCAGACTCGATTATTTACAGACCACCGTCATATAGCTGGAATATTGCTGAGTGCGGCGTTAAACAACAAACCAACCTTAAATTGTCCAGTGTTCATCCAAATTATTATTACTTTTCCTACACCACTGAAGACAAGATATAATTTTCCAGGTGTTTTAAATATTTTGAACACTCGTGACCAACCTGTTTGGCTGTAACTCTCATTCTGTCCAACTTCTATTTCTATTCTCATACTCCTGTGCCAAACTCATTTGAGTGTACGACACCTCACTTACATCTTGACATTGTTTTCTGTAGATTAGCATGTAGATTTGACAAGGAAAACTTATTAGTCTCAGGCTTTGAACGAGTGGTTTAATTAGGAAAGTGGCTGACAAAGAAAGATTGGTAACAATGACTGATTTCACTGTGAAACACTGTTTAGCTTGTCTAAGATTTTCTTTTATTTAAATTTATCGCTGAAATATTGTAGACGGTGGCACAAAACAACATTACTTGTTACTTTAACTAGTTATCTGTATATTCTGACATTATCTGACAACAAACACTCACCATGAGGTGCTTGGCATCCAGCTGGTGGATCACGATGTTCACTTGATGCAGTCTGGCAAAGGACACAATTGCATCATTTCCGGCATAGACTCCAAGTTTCTTGAGGTTTTGTACTGAAAACACACAAGTCAAAATAGTCACTGCATGATACAAAGAAAAGCTGAAACACATTATACTTGCTGGTGTCAAATCATCATGATGTGGGCAACATGGACAAAGGGAGGTAACTCTGTCTGGCCAAGCTCACATATCAAATGACCAGTGACCCTAAAAGCAAAATTACTACTGAAACCAATGTACCTCTGCAATAAAATAAGATATATAGATAATGTTTGATAACATGCGCTCTAACATGAAATCCATAAAACATGTTAAAATGGAGCTGACTAAAGTGAAAACAATGACTTATGTCAGAATCAGGCGATATTAAAAAGGACTGCATCAGACTGTTCAAAAGCCAAGAGGACAAGTTCATGATACAATAGGAATTGCAAATTACAATTCTCCTCCTGGCCATGCTAATCAGTCCAGTATTATTATCAATCTGCTAATGATGACATACCCAGACATACCGTACTTGCCACTGAAAAAACAGTTAAGTCTCACCATTTATTGCAGAATTAAAGCGTGTTTCCAGAAATGATGTTGAATGAATAAAATATCAAATACACAAGTTGATAAAAGCGGAAAATCTCCAAGGCATGCTGAGGAGTTTTTCCACTTCGATCAGCGTCATTATTTGTCCAACTCTTTCAATCGGTAGACGGTAATAAGAAGTGTCTTAAGTGTAGAAAATACTGGCTTACAGCTTCAGTAGCAGAGCCACTAGTGATGTCATTTGATTGAGACGTCATGGTAACAATGACATCACAGTGGTCTGCATGTAGATATGGCTTGATCACACCCAAGCGATATCTCCTGTGGGAGCCAGTTTGGGATGATAAAAATGGATCCATAGAATGCTCGCTGATGTTTCTCTTTGACTGACAGCAAACATTACATTTGAATGAGATTTTTAGCATGGTTTACCACCTTGTCTGACAAGATCTCTGCCCAAATCCATGAGGGTGGGTATGATGCGGACAAACCACTGATCATAACCTGGCTGAATCTGGGATTCCAGTCACAATCAGCAGATCCTTGCTTGGCCAAGGGACACAACTCAGCACAGAAACAGAAAACTTACTGTGAGTATCAAATGGAATGTCATCCTCCATGAAGGGTTCAAAGTCGTCTCGGTGTTCAGCCATGTAGCGGACGACATCCTGACGATGACGGAAGTGGTTGCGACAATGTCCCTCCAACTGATCCCCAAGTGCACGAAACAAACAGTTTCTGAAAACAAATAGATATTTTTTATAAACATACAGCTTGTTCCCAATGTGTTGTTATGCACAGCTATAAGTAGAGCGCCCATTTTACTGTGGGGGACATGAAGTGGGATGACCGATCATGCTGATTCTGCTTTATTTGTGTGTGTGGCTGCTTGCACTAGTCCGCACTAATCCCGGTTTTGTAGTGCCAGTCCACTGCCAGGCCACAGTTTGACAATGATGCACCACTCAGACACATTACACTCAATCTAAGCCAACCAGTCCTTGCTTTCAGCCCTAACGCCCAGGCGAGGTAACATGTTACAAATACCATCTGATAAATATCCTTTGGTATGACACATTTACCGCCCAGTCTAAATGAAAGAGGCAGGTTTCTTGAGCCAATCAGATGTCAGTTTTCTAAATGTTTCCATTTCTTTACCACCTTGATTCGGAAATTTGTATCTTAAGAAATAATAACCGCCACAGAACACAAATCAACCCTTGTTAGTACATCCTTTGAAGTTCAACTATCTATGCTGCAACGATCAGAATCGATCATGTATAAAATATCCATAATACTATAACAGTATGGCTTCATGTTTTTGCATTTGGAACTCCCCAACAATATTCGTATAACGTGGACATCTGACAAAGAATTGTGAACAGTATCTATTTTATAGTTGTATTAAAAAGCTTTATAATTAATTGTGCAAAAGAGAAAATGTAAAAATTTATTAACCATGTTAACTGTGGTAATAATCGTCATAGAAGTTGCCTTTTTAAAACATGTCCAAATATTGTTTTTTTTGTGTTGTAAGGATTAAAGTAAACAATTAAACATATCAAGGTTGTCTTTTTTGGAAAATGACTTAAATTCACCCAATAACTTATCGGCGTCCTGCTACCTGGCACAAAGTGGAAACCATTGTGCAACATGAGAAATGTTAAATTGGTCTAGTCAAATATATGAATTGCAAAGATCCACTTTTGGAATTCCTGAATTTAATCACCATTATCACATGACACGTACCTTCAGTACCATCCCCTCCATCTCTGACCTTGTCACAGCCATTACTTAAACACGACACCCCTCAGTACCTTCCCCTCCATCCCTGACCTTGTCACAGCCATTACTTCAACATGTCACCCCTCAGTACCTTCCCCTCCATCCCTGACCTTGTCTCAGCCATTACTTCAACATGACACCCCTCAGTACCTTCCCCTCCATCCCTGACCTTGTCTCAGCCATTACTTCAACATGACATCCCTCCATCCCTTCCCCTCCATCCCTGACCTTGTCTCAGCCATTACTTCAACATGACACCCCTCAGTACCTTCGCCTCCATCCTTGACCTTGTCTCAGCCATTACTTCAACATGACATCCCTCTGTACCTTCCCCTCCATCCCTGACCTTGTCACAGCCATTACTTTAACACGACACCCCTCCATCCCTGACCTTGTCACAGCCATTACTTTAACATGACACCCCTCAGTACCTTCCCCTCCATCCCTGACCTTGTCTCAGCCATTACTTCAACATGACACCCCTCAGTACCTTCCCCTCCATCCCTGACCTTGTCTCAGCCATTACTTCAACATGACACCCCTCAGTACCTTCCCCTCCATCCCTGACCTTGTCACAGCATTACTTCAACATAACATCCCTCCATCCCTGACCTTGTCACAGCATTACTTCAACATGACACCCCTCAGTACCTTCCCCTCCATCCCTGACCTTGTCTCAGCCATTACTTCAACATGACACCCCTCAGTACCTTCCCCTCCATCCCTGACCTTGTCACAGCATTACTTCAACATAACATCCCTCCATCCCTGACCTTGTCACAGCATTACTTCAACACGACACCCCTCCGTAACTCCCCCTCCATCCCTGACCTTGTCACAGCCACTACTTCAACATGACACCCCTCAGTACCTTCCCCTCCATCCCTGACCTTGTCACAGCATTACTTCAACATGACACCCCTCAGTACCTTCCCCTCCATCCCTGACCTTGTCACAGCCATTACTTTAACAGCAGAAACTTTCCACAAGATGCTACCCACAAAGTAGTTGTCATGTTTCATCACAATCACACAAAAGACTCCAGCCATCCCTCTGAACTTGTGTACACACGCCTCTTACCATGCTTACCCTATCTTGGAAACATTGTAAAGCCACTAGGTCAGCTATTGATGACATTCCCACCAAGACTTGTTCCTCTCATCTTTAGGCATATGGTTTCCTTACAAATCTTCTCAACAAGATATTAATGCATGTTAATGTATTTTTTCCTACCCAAACACTGCCGTGAAATGGGCCATACAAACATCTTTAAGTGAAGCCTTATGCCAGTTATGTTCCACGGTTGCAATTTCCAAACTGAAATGACCACCTCTGTGGTCTAGTGGTAGGGCGTCCGCCCGGAGAGCGGAAGGTCTGGGGTTCGATCCCCGTCCGCATTATACCAAAAGAAGATAAAAGATGGTTCTTGTTGTTACCCTGTCTGGCGCTCGACATTAAGGGGCTAAAACAAGGACTGGTCGGCTCGGAGTCAGTATACTGTGTCTGAGTGGGGTATTCATGTTAAACTGCGGCATGGTATCTCAGTGTGCTAGCACTATAAATCGGCATCAGTCCGGACTAGTACAAGCAGCCACACACACACACATGGATGCACGTCGCTATATAAGTGCAATAATCTTGGACGCGACGTTAAACCCCATTTCACCTCACCTCCAAACTGAAACAGAGGTCAACCCAGAAATCGGTCGCACAGAACTACATTGTGAAGTCAGTACATGACCACACATGATCAATGAATAATGAATAAAATAATATTGAAATACAGTAAACATAGTAAAAGGATGACAATCAAATACAATACAAAAGGTCAAATAAGTGGCAGCAGCAGTATTCAGGTAACCATGGTAACAGGCTTATAATTAATATCCCACAAATGTCCAGAATTTTGTCCGCCTAATGTCTTGAAACTGACCTGAATGAATCCAAACAGTGTTTGAAGTTGACAGGAAGTTGTGTTAAATTGAATTTTAAGGCTTTTTCAAGGCAGATTCAAAATCAACGTCCCATGCTATCGGGGTACAATGACCATGATGACCACTCAATCCCCATTTTAGTTGGCTCTGACAACAAACATGAAGTACTGGTGACCTATTGTGGAAACCTCACAAAGGCTCAAAACATTTAAATTTAAAAAGCTGTGTAGCAGCGTGTTCACTTAGTCCTAGGAATAAAGTTATCTTATTTAAAAATATATATCTTCAAAATAAACAATAATCATATCTCCATATAATCCTAATGGCGCCAAGAACAAGGTTTAATTTCTGGAGCTGAGGCAATCTAGACTTCCTTTCTTAATTTATAATCTCGGGTCTGGGAAACAAAATAAAGCATGCTGTCTTTTGGCATGTTTGGTAAACTAAAACATTTTACTCTATATGAACGTCACAAGGACTTACATGTAAAAAAAGGATCAAAATTCAAATGAAGTTTGCAACCCTGAATCGACTTCAACTTCAAATTTCTTCATCCATGCAAAACCAAAAGAAAACTAAATCTAATTTTGCTGGGCTAACTGTGTACATAACTCTACACTGGTCTATCTTGTCGCATTGCTGTTGTCTCTCCAACCATTGAAGCATTCGCCATATCATCAATGCATATGAATTATGTATATGCATGTATATACTACTGATCCATTGAACAGGGTTTAATCATGGTAACCATGGTAACACGAAAGTTGCACTATCAAAATTCAAGGAACCCCAAAGGGGAAAACTTTATTTTGTCCAAATTTGGATTTTTTTAAAAGTACATATTTTCATAGATTGAGTTGTATAATGAGCAAATGATGAGACAGCAATAATATAAAACAAAGCATTAAAACCTGTTCCTATTTATTTATCTTGTTATAAGTGAACACAGGTTGCTTCTTCAAAGCCATAAAATTAGTTTATATATATATTATTCTATATATATTAATACATTGTAACATGGGAAATATTTAGTTCTCAATCGGGAACTTTTTATTGACATTTGCTGCAAACATGGGGCCGAATATCGGCCTCTGAGGAGATTTAGATAAATCCCTGGAAATGTAATATTAATATTAATAAGTGACAAGGGGCTGTTCAGTGAACCTGTTTATGAATTCCATGCCGCCTGTGGTATGCAAAACTACAAGGAACACAACATCGCCATTCTAAAACACGGGAGCATACTGGACCGTGCTCTTTTCTTGTAGTAAGAACACATAATTATAGTCCTGCACATTGCTGAATTGGGTCCAAACATATGATCTGAATTTCAGACATGGGTGCTGGCAGTTTGACTTTCAATGTTGGCAGGGTAATATATACATGTCATATATATATTTGACATGATGCCAAATGTCAGCTCAGTGACCTTACAACAAGGTCAAGGCCATCACAACACGCTGACAGTGTAAAATAATCATTAATGTCATGTGTTTGGCCTATTTGTGAATAGTTAATCCAATGTCAGAATTCCAAAGTTAATAATAATTTCAACTTGAGATAATATTTTCATACTATAATCAAATAGAATAGATTCCCAGAGCCATTTTCCAAACAATAATTATAAATCACCAACATGTCCCTGTGTAAGTGCAATAATCATAGACGTGACATTAAACCCCATTTCACTTCACCTCACTCCTTTATGAACAAGAAATCATTGCATATAATTTATAATGTTATAAACCCATGTACTGACTGGAAATTCGAATGACTGAAAATATGAGCGAAGTCCTGAGATTCATAATATCACTTTCCTAATACAATCTGTACAACATGTACAATATGTACAATTTGGTGTAAATATATGCAATCTGTGCCAAATACTTTTGAATTGACCAGCCTAAACTTGGATTTGGTCTTTACTTTCAGTAGACTATTTAACTTTTTACTAGACACGGGGTTCAGACTAGTGGCTAAAATCAGACAGTACTTGTGAATGCAACTCAAACTTGAACA